CCCACACCCACCCACACCCACACCCACACCCACACCCACACCCACACCCACACCCACCCTAAACCCCATTTTCGACGAGTTGTCATTTGATATAAAATTCATTATTTGCTCTATTTAAAATTATAGTGTTATCCTTGTGGAATAATATTTTTTTCAACCTAGTACTTATAATTCTACGACTTTTACGATTCGAAAAAGATATGTGGAGAAAGTAAAACGCTTATAAATTCTTTCAACTATGAGTTATATCACACTGGTCAGTTTTTGCTGTAGATCTTGGTCAAAATGTTTGAAAGAAAAATTGTAAATTAACTGATGGTTTTGGAGCGGATGTGGATGTGAGTCTACACGCTGACGGTGTGGGGCTAAAGTGTATCGTATGTGCTGGTTAAGAATGCTTGTAGCTGTGGTTGTGCATGAATGTCCATATGTAATCCACCAAAATTTACATCTGCTTCCGCTTCTTGAATCATGCCTATACACATCCCACGCACGAATTCACACTACTTCAGTCCTCAGCTAACACCCACATCCACCCGTAGGCAAACCCATACCTACACATATCCACGTGCACAGCCCTAAACTTGTTTAGCTCTTTTGTACTCTACTCAGTGTTTAGTGCTCCTGTATTTTAGAACTTTCTATGTTTGTCTTAGTTCTGACAAAGCATAGATCATTATAACTGGTTTAGTAGAGAAACTGAAACCTCTTGATTTTATTGATTACTCAATCAATGGAACGGAAGTTAATTGGAATTATATCATTCGTTTTTGTAAATATTCTTATTGGTTTATATCATTTTCAAATAAAATCTGTATCAAAGAGCGTTTTTTTTTCAAATCATACATTCTTTTCAACAAGTTCACAGTATCCAAAAATATCATGTATCGTATACGTAAAAGATCGTGACGGTCGTCTTGGTAATCGAATGTTTATGATTGCTAGCGCTTACGGTCTGTCTCGCCTACACTCTTGTCATTTATATTTGACACCAAAAATCATCGATGAAATGAAAGAAATTTTCATTTTAGATCTTTCTCCTTTTCTTATTTCGTCAACCATGTTCAACTCAATTACGCACAATATTTCGAAATCAATGCCTATAATAATTAAGAATGTTGGCTGCCAATACATTCCTGAACTGACACGTCCAGATGCAATTTTATCGGGATGTATTTTCGAATTGCAAGGTTTTTGGCAATCATATCTTCATTTTTCCAAATATAACAATGATATTCGAGAACGAATCTTTGCCGCAAAAAAATCTGTACTTGAAAAAGTCTCGAAATTATTCGTTGATATTTATCAAAAAAAGTTTGGCTTGAAACATTGGTTTTTATTAGAAAATCATCAGTCATTCAAAAGCCAATTAGTGCATTTAAACTTGACAACATGGATTGGTATTCATGTACGGCGTTCAGACTTTGTTTCCTTGTATTTTTCTTCGTCAGATGAATATTTATTCACTGCTATTGAATATTACACTTCACATTATTCAAATGTTCATTTTATAGTCTCTAGTGATGATAAACCTTATTGTGAAAATCTGTTTCGTAATCGATCAAATATTTCCATTACACCACAATCATTTTCCATGGGTGATGATCTAATAACACTTTCACTCTGTGAACATTCAATCATTACAGGTGGAACATTTGGATGGTGGTCCGGTTATCTTGCTAATGGTCAAGTTCTCCATGATAAGATATATCCATCTGGATGCGAAAGACGCGAGCACTACTATCCACCATGGTATCTCATAGATGGGAAAGTACGAGCATATAAAAACAGTAACTATACTCTATGATAAATGTGAAAACCTCGAATTTAAATCCAAGATTTATGTGTACTACAAAAAGTGAATGAGACAAATCGATCATCCTAGAATGTGTGGATATAAAGATTAGCCTGGCAAACCCTTTCTATAAACACTTGAATTATATTGGCTACCGCTCAACCAATAGGATTTCTGGGTGAATACAGCTCAGATTTCAACTCTTCGCCTTGAGTTATCCTCATAAAGTCGTTTTTCCTATAACTTGATTTCTATTGGTTAGTACTTAACCAATATGGCTTCGAGTCAAGTGGATCACAGATTCGAGTTCTCCATCCCAGAAAACATCGAACTATTATCTCTGTGATCGGAATATAGAGCTCTAATTGTGGATTGATTAGAGCGCAGACAAAAACAGAGTCGATTTCCGTTGATTTATCCTTGCAATAGGAGTGCTAGCCTTCTTATTTCTTTATGTTTTATATACCATTTTGTAGCTCGTGAAATTCTCTATTGAATAGTATATGATAGTTGAGGTTTTATTTGACTATGATAGGGAAAATGTTTTACGAAAGTGGAGGTAGGTCGACTTTCCTATGGGAAGCCGTAGGGAAAAATCAGCATTTTAGCAATAACTCAGGAACGGTTCGGCCAATCCTTCTCATCTTCGAACTCGACCAAGATAATGTTAAGACTAAACTGTATAGAAAATTTCATCGTGATCGGACTCTCCTTTCAAAAGTTATCGTGTAAACGGCCGGCCGGACACACTGACCGATTCTAGTGTACTCACTTTTTGAGTACACAATAAAAAATACAAAAGAGAAGAGCAGTGAGGCTGTAGTCAACGGAGCGTATGTAACTGTGCTTAGGAATCTAGTGGATATGAATTTGGGTGATGATGATTTGGGAGAGGGGCACAGTGCGCAACCAGATGACAAAATCGATCTTTGAGATTTGAATCCAAATTATAACTATCATTAAAGATACTATGCATCTTTCTTTGACTGTAGCCTGAGTTCTGACTGAAACTGAGTATCTGTAATACAGCAGCTATAGTAAGGTAGAAGAATCATATGAAGATTGCCATAAGCACTATATAAGGAACGTTTCTAGTTTTGATTTATAATGTAGTTATAGCCAACTATTGTTATACCGTTATATAGTAGCGAGTATTTACTATGTATTATAGGTATTTGGGATTTCAAGTTTTTTATGGTGTGATAAGACGAAAAAATTATATTTAACACAACAAAAAACAAGTAACATCAATCGAGAGTCGATTTGCTTAACCCTAGACTGAATTACTGGGCATAGACATATTATTACATTTTCAGGTAGCCTACCTTAAGACAATCATTTCTCTACTAATGAAATAATAATGTAAAATTTATATAGGAATCTGTATTCGTTTGTACATGGCTTTGAAGGCTTGGTTCAATGGTTAATACGCAGGTCAAGTAATAAGATGTAAAGATGAGATTCAGATTATGTTTCCATCCAATCTTGCATGAACATCGGATGTCATCCTACAAAATCATACGGGAAAACTTACAAGGAATTTTGGTCTCAGATTTGTTACGTCAATATTTATCGTAAGTTTCCCATACGTGCCATGACTACTATCTTTTACGGCTATATGTAACTGCTTCGCAAAGATTTGAACTGATCTACTCAAAAATATATACCCCTGGAAAAAAATAGCTTTAGTCCGTATTTGACTTATATTGTCACTATAAAACAACATTTTCTTTAAACCAATTACATATTCTGAAAGCGCGTGGAGTTCTGCATCATCCTATATATTTACATTCTAACTTGCGACCTATTTGCTGCAAAATAAATCGAGTACAATGAAGGCACCCTCATCGTCAGATTCCCACAGATTTTTTTCCCATCTTCTTGCCAATTAATCTTTTAAATCTTTCATCACTATGGAAGTAGCTTTTTAAAAAACTAAATATATATTCTGATAGAGCTTTTCAAGCTCTATCATCCTGTATATACATCTTTTGTTTTGGCTTCCACTATTGAAGAAAAAAAACAAATGCATTGAAAACACCTGCATTTGAAAAGGATAGAAATTTTGCAACTTTTCGCTTTTTTTTAGTTCTTCTTTGAAATTATCTTTCTTGTAAGAATAAATTCCAATAAAAAAAAATTATACGCTCTTGTAGCGCTTGAAATTCTCTTCCATTCTATATATTTTTCTTACCACCATGAATTTGTTTTTTATAAAAAACAAATTCATGGTGGTAAGAAAAATATATAGAATGGAAGAGAATTTCAAGCGCTACAAGAGCGTATAATTTTTTTTTATTGGAATTTATTCTTACAAGAAAGATAATTTCAAAGAAGAACTAAAAAAAAGCGAAAAGTTGCAAAATTTCTATCCTTTTCAAATGCAGGTGTTTTCAATGCATTTGTTTTTTTTCTTCAATAGTGGAAGCCAAAACAAAAGATGTATATACAGGATGATAGAGCTTGAAAAGCTCTATCAGAATATATATTTAGTTTTTTAAAAAGCTACTTCCATAGTGATGAAAGATTTAAAAGATTAATTGGCAAGAAGATGGGAAAAAAATCTGTGGGAATCTGACGATGAGGGTGCCTTCATTGTACTCGATTTATTTTGCAGCAAATAGGTCGCAAGTTAGAATGTAAATATATAGGATGATGCAGAACTCCACGCGCTTTCAGAATATGTAATTGGTTTAAAGAAAATGTTGTTTTATAGTGACAATATAAGTCAAATACGGACTAAAGCTATTTTTTTCCAGGGGTATATATTAGAGATGGTGATTCTTTTTGTATTAATTAAAAATAAACTTAATTCGAGTCTTATAATAAACAAAAGAATTAATTTTCAAACGAACAAACCTGTATGTCGACACATGCTCGCAAAAACTGTTCTACACCGAATCCAAAAAAAATATAATATGGCAATAGAAAAACCATCGATCTCAATTTATCATGAAAAGAAATCATCGAAAGGTTATAATGAGAAAAATATTTTATTTTGTGAAAAAATAGGACTTCTAATTATTTATATAAAACGTCCAAAGCCAATAATAGCATTTCATGAATTTTGTTTATATAAAAGTTCAACATATAATTTTTTATATAGGCAGATAAAAAAGGATTTTATGTACTACGTACGTAAAAACCTACGAATCAAACATCGAACTCTATATTATATGTCAACAAAATTCAAAAAAAGACACCACGTTCTTTATAATTATTATTGGAAAGTCAAAAATGAAGAATAGAATTTTCAGTATTCTCGAAAGGGAAAACTATGATGATCTGTACCATGATTTTGGATACTTGTATCCGCAATATACTCAGTTGTAGCATCATATGGTCACTTCTACCACTGATACGGTCATTTCTACCTTGATATGGTCCTTTGTACCACGACTATGTTTACTTGTACCACGACTGTGGTACTTTCTACCAAGAAAATGGTCATTTATACCAAAAAGGTAGCAACTCGTAACATGAGTATAGTCATTTGAACCACGATCGTGGTTCTTTGTGCCATCGATGTGGTTATTTGTGCCACTTACATCGTCATTTGCACCACGACTATGGTTACTTGTACCACCAATGTGGTCGCTTCTACCACAACTGTGGTCTATTGTACCATGACTGTGGTACTTTCTACCAAGAAAATGGTCATCTGTACCAAAAGAGGGGTCATTTGTACCACAGAAAT